AAACCCCTGGTTTGTTCTTCCTGGCACAGCCCTCACCCCAGCTCACCACCCCGAACAGAAACATCCGACCTGCCATTTCACACACTAACGGACCACCGGAGTCACCCTGTGAGGAGAGGACACATCAGTCAGCCAGTGCTCATGAAGAAAGTTCCCAATATCTTTAGATTTAAACAATTTTGAAGTATAAGTAGGTCTGAAAATGGTCTAAGCAGCATTTATATAATGAAACTACATTTCTCTACTGAACCCCAGAATAAGAATAATTGGGTGACTGGTATTTACACAATTTGCTGAGAGCAGAAGATGGATATAATCAATCTCACTGCAAGTGTATGCAACACTTTTAGAACTCCTCAAAAAGAGGAAAGATGACTCTTCAGATCTCACTTAATGCTGCTGAAGCTCGAAACATATTGCATATCTGTGAGATCGATTACAACTTCCTTTAATTTCTCGTTAATGCACTTCTGTTTTTGTGCAGACTTTTAAACCAAGACCTAAGACATTCACTGTTTGCAAGAAGCCTTCCGTTGTTTTTCTCTTTTGGTTTTTACACCAAACATCCCAACACACATGCACACATATATTCATACACTGGGTTCTTTGCTCACCTTGCAGGCATCAGTGCTCCAGTCAGGGCTCCCAGCACATAACATGTTCTTAGTGATGAGATTTTCATAGTGCAATTTACTTCCACAGTCACCTTGGGAGATCAGTTTTACCTCACCCTGTTTCAGGTACTGTGAGTAAGACCCAACTGCAGAAAACACATTGTTATAAGAATCACTGAAATGGCTGAGAGATCAGTCATGAATCTGTAAGACAGACAATCTGCAGTACATACAGTATCTCTCATTCCCGAATCCTGCGACGCTGCACTGAAAACTTGCAGGAAGCTGAGTATGAAGTGGAGGAAGACACACAGTCTGTGTAGATGGAGACTTCACAGCACATCTTCCATTTACACCTTTGATCTTCAACAGTGCTGAAATGCAATGAAAAATACAGCTATGAGTCCTGCACACAAAGCATTCATGCAGCTCTTTATTTTTCTCACTCACACACGTACACACAGAACAATTATGTGCACCTATGTCATTATCGTAGTTGGTATCATTGTATTTTTGGTGGAGGATCAGTTTTTCCACAGCAAACGACTGTTCATTGTCAGCATCTGTTTCATTGATGGCTGTCTTCCCCAGGTATACAGACACACGCCGGGTGCTGCCACTGAACGAAAAATAAACACAAGTTGTTGACTATACACACAAAGCACGTAAACATATTACACACCGAATTGAGTCATACTGCCAATATAGAATGAGAATTGCAGTGAAGGAAATTATAATGTTTTGTGTTTTGTCTCACCTATCAGAGAAGCAGTGAGCAGCCGTGACAACCCAGCATGGTGAGATGAGAGAGCCACCACAGAGGAAATCTTTGCCCTTAAAGATAGCAGCGACCCATGGGTGCGACTCTATAGGTGTGAAAGAACCACCCACGATTTTATTCTGCCTCCGCTCTGACCTCTCACCACATGTCAGCTCTGCAGGGGGACACACAGGAGGAGTCAGTGAGTGGCCGATGAAGGCAATCACAAGATGGGGAAAAAAGTGCATTTAAACAACAAAGCTACCTGTATCTACAGCAGGTGGAGCTTCTGTTGTTGGTGTATCACCTGTATGGGAGCAGAAAACAGAGATTATTAGAAAAATCCAAATCAAACATGCAATATTTCAATGATTTTTAAATTCCCAATGTCAGCCTTACATTTGGGAATATCACAGAATTCCCTCACAATCTTCTTTCCTCTTACGATACGGCACCACGGCATCAAGCTCTTGTTAGGATTCCTGGCAATCAAGTGAAATAATATTAAACAAATGGTACCTCTCCTTAACATATCTGTGTGCCAGATTGGTAGTTTAAGGTATACCTGCAGTAATTATGGTTGCCGAGTCCCTCTGAAGCTCCCCAAGGGTCATTAAACCTGTTCCAGTTGAGACATCTCCGTTCAGTTACCGACTCAGAAACAAATCCCCTGTAGCTACTCCCATCCCCAGACCGACACATGTCTGAAGATCACATCACAAAGAGAGATGAGAACATTTAATGTCATTGTCACCAGATGCAGCACATGCAGAATATTAGGAATATGTGTTGGCTTACCCTTTGGATTACGTGGCAAAATCTTTCTAAACAGTCTGCGTGAAAAAGCCTGAGAGAAGCACAGACAAAAACTCAGTTGAGACAGAGTCCCCTGGGTGGGAATATTACTCCTAGAGTTACTTCCTCTTATTGTTGCTTACCACATCAACACTGAACGCTGCAAGGACTGCGACAATGACTAACAGGTTCATCTTCACTTCTGGTTTCGCTTCTCCTTTTTGGGGGATATTTCTGTCTGAAGATGGACTGAAAAAGAATAAGAATTAGAGAAATGGAATAAAAAACACAGGATTTAAAGCTCATGTGCCCTTATTTGGAGTGTATCTTTGAGCATACGATAGGACAGACATGTGCTTTCTGTGTCCATCTTCAGTTAGCACAGTGTTACATTTCTGCTGATTGCATGTCTACATCTATTACAGAGGGGAACAGGGCTGCTTTTAATGTAACAGCAACATACTGAACATGCTTACTCTGTACTGTAAACATAATCTCTATCAGTACAGTGAATGCAGTATCAATTTAGGTCAGTTGATTACTGCATTGCACGTGTACACCATTACATCACATTAGTTTTGCAGTGAGTACAGTTTAAACATTGAATTTCTCTGTCAACTTGATAAGGACAAAAGAAAACAGTTGCATGGTTAAAACTTTACACTCAATGCATGATTTCTGTCAACAAACACTTTCATGCGCACTACATCATTTATCTTTTAGTTTCATATGTTTTTAGCATTAAAATATGAGTCCCTTTGTGCGTTTGGGTTGCTCCCATCTGTGTGAATCCATCTGGACACAATCTATCTACAGTTTTGTTATCCTGATTGTCTGTACTGCAATTTTATCTTTTCTGTACACGCAACATGTCTGTCCGTCCTTGAAGAGGGATCCGTCCCCTGTTGCTTGTACCGAAGTTTCTTCCATTTCTTCCCTGTTAAAGGGTTTTTTTATGGGTGTTTGTCCTCATCTGTCACAGTGTGGGAAGCTTTGTTAGAGATATGTTTACCTTTCTGTCCAAACTTGCAATGTTGAATGTTGTTATTTCTTCCAGCTGAAGTGACTGTTATGGCCTCTCTGTGTCCTCTGGTATGGACTTATGGTAGAAGTCGCTGTTAGCTGTTCTGAAGTTGCAGTGCTGATCTTCTGCGAGTTCCTTCCCATTTAAAAACACAATTCTACAAGTGGGAGGGGTTTAGGAGGATATATGAAAACATTACTGCCGTTCAAATGCTGATCAGCAAAACCTTGGCCAAAGAATGTGTCATGTCCTGTGACACATAAAGACTGAACACCCCCCCCTCCTACCACTTAAACCACAGCAATACAGCTAAAATAAAATGTCCAAAATTGGTCATGTGTACAATGACAGCTGCAGAACAAGTTCAAACATGGAATGACAGGTTTGAGATTCTGTCTCATACTAATGAACTACATTTAAACATTCAATGGATCAAATCTTCCTACCACATAAATTATTGTAGACACTGCAGCATATGCTGAGAATATACTGTATAATGTACAACTGAAATCTGTTTCACTCAAGTCTGAGCACACTCAAGTGGTATTGAGTCATTATAGTTTTGTATATTTGATTAGTTTTTATTATTTTTTTATTTTTTATTTTTGTCACTTCACAGTTAGTTTCAGAGTGGTTTTGCTAATTTCTGTTTAATTCTTATTGTTTAAAAATGTTTAGTTTTGTTCAGTTTCAGTATTATTTTATAGTTTTAAAAAATAGTAGTATGTAATATGGGGGCTATTTGTCAGGGGCAAGATTCAAGACATTCAGAATATTTTCTATAATACAAACACAACACTTTTTGGAGGCAGTTGATTCACAGTCATGCAGATATCCCAGAATTATGCTTATTGTGTTGACAAATTAGACAAAATTGACAAAGATCATGTTATCAGATGCTTTTACCGATACTTACGAATGCCTTTGCTTGTTGATGTTTTAAATGTTTATTGCTGGCACTTGTGCAACACCCTGTGACTTTGTTAAGAAAGGTGCTACATAAATAAATTATCATTATTCTTAAACATATAAGATATAAGATATCCCTCACTTGAATTTTAATTAAGACCACAACATCTAAATACTTGAATAGATTTAAAAAAAAATAAGACAGCTGGTTGTGTTTAAATTGTTCAAACTACAAGATAAAGTGATCTCACTTCTTCTATAACAACTACAAAGTGATCTTACTCAACAATGCACTGCATCTATACACCCAGTCATCACAGCTGCATCACTTGGCGACTTGCTAAAACTTAAAAGAATGATTATTTTACCAAATAATCAACTTCTTACCTCATAAACACGTGGTGTGTTTTGGATTACAGAGCAGCTGTCTTTCAAGACATTCTTTGCACATATTATAGTAATAATGTAACACAACTTCCCCTAAAACAATAGGCATTGTTATGGCTTTTATGTTTGGGGATTTCTAGAATAAAATGTCTGACGTCTGTGTTACTCACATTTCCTTCTCTTTGACGTGACAATGGCCAGATATGACCCTCAACAAATGTGTAATGCCAAGTCAGGAGGCATGAAACAACCGAACAACATATTTTAATTAAGTGATTTATTGAATCCAGTTGCCTTCTCTGATATACTATATCTGGCCCCACACAGGTGTTTTATCAAAAGAACAACTACACAGAAATTACCCAACCCAGGGAAACCCAATATATTTGTGGTTGGAGACAGCTGCAACCTGGAGTGTTTGATTTTGTAATTTTGACTTGTTTCCCACACCCCAGTCTAGACTCCAGTCTAGACTCAAGTCCTCTACCATATACCATCCTAAAGGCTCCAAACTCACCCATTAGAGTTCCTAGTATCTTCATCAACATGGTCTAATAAATCTCTTCACGAAGATTTTTTTTTTACCTTATTCTCTAAACCTTGTGAATGTGGTTCAGGCCAGAGAAGTTCCAGAAATTAAATGACTTACCTCTGTTGGCCATGGAGTACTGCTCAAGAGGAGACCTACGCAAGGTTCCAAGTGGGTATTTTATAAAGACCCCATAGAAATATTTGTCTTTTAAAACATTGTTGATTAATATTTATATCTCTTTATGTAGGTGTTGAATAAACCAGAGAATTGTTGTGGGCTGAAGGAGTGTGAAGTCCTTTCTCTGCTCAGTGACATTGGTAATGTTTCTACTTTAACAATAAGTCACTGTTATCACATGATGATGCTTAATGTCCATGAAATGATTATTATTATGTTTTACAAACACAGGTTCTGGTATCCAGTATCTCCATGAAAATAAGATAATTCACAGAGACCTAAAGCCAGAGAACATTGTCCTGCAAGAGGTTGATGGGAAGGTGAACTCCCATCCTAAAGGTTTCCTTTGCCTTGCTGTCATTATAAAATCATGTTGTGTTTTTATTCTTATTTGAATAGATTACAATATAATCTGTTTTATGAATCTGTCTTTATGTGTCCCAGGCTCCAGAGCTGTTTGAGAGTAAACCCTACACTGTAACTGTGGACGACTGGAGCTTTGGAACAGTGATCTTTGAATGCACTTGTGACTTTCGACCCTTTTTGCAATGCTCGCCTGTATTCTGAAGAACCTGGGCGTACAAATGACAGGCCACGTAACTTTCCTGTGAACGGATTTCATTTTAAACAGGAAAAGCACACACAGGATGCATCTTTGTCAGTTATAACTCATCATTAAATCCTCATCTTTCTTCTTTTTCATCTGAACTGTGTTTCTATGTCCATAATTGTCTGATAAAAGTATGATTGTGTCACACACAACACACAAATTAAGCAATCACAACGAGCCAAAAATATTTATTTATAGATGTCACACAGTGGGGATTATTTAATTTTCTATAAAGGGGCATTTGCAGCTTTATCCCTGTATGACAAAACCACATAGCTCTGACCTTGTATGTATGTGCGTGTTAACATGGTTTTCACGTGTACTGTGTATATATATAACGTGAGGCTCACATCCTTTTACTGTAACATATAGAAGCTTCTATATTTCGGTATGCAGGGGGAGTTTGTAAAAAAAAGAGAAACATGCTGACATCAGTGCAGAGAAAATGAGGAAGGAGAAAATGAGAAATACAAGTCTGCTTTCTGCAAGAAGATTTATATTCTATTTTTGTTTTTGCCTATTCACTCATGAATATTTCAAAGAATTGTATCTTGAATAGAGTGTGGTTATCTCATCTTGTGTCAGAGTAAAGTTTTAAACTCCAAGAAGGGAAGTCAGTTATGATTTATTTTATATTATTTTAAGAATTCAGATTATTAGAACTTAAATCTGTGTACAAAACATCTCCGACTGAAACCCTGCCAGATATAACGTACTGTTCTTTATAAAGGGACAAAAACAAAACCATTGAGATAATTTATTTTAACACTCCAGACTATTCAAACTTCAACCTCACCATCACCTCAAGATGACACTATGATGGGAATGGGATTTCAGATCACATGTATTTTCACATGTCTGCTTCTCCTTTCTACCATACTGAGAAAAAGTATTCTTGGTGGGAAATTGTGAGGCCAAGCAGTTTTGAGAAGCGACTATTAGTGCTGGCGTACAGGTGCCCATTTCACTTTTTTAACCGATAGCTTCTTTCAGTCGGAATATAAATATAAAAACATACTAAAAATACTTTAGGGGGAATTTATTTGTGCAACTTGTGATGAATCAATATATAACAAATGGTTGAACACTTCACAGACTGTGTTACTGAGAGAACAGTCACAAAACCCACAGAAGACTGTTGCAGTGTAACCAAGAACAGTACTGGCCCTCATTGCATCAGCCCTTACTCACTGTTGTTGTTACGTTGTTTGACAAATTGCACATTTTTTCATCTACTGTGAGCTCATCATTTGTTTCATAGATTGAGAAATGATGAGGTCTTCCTGATATGTGAAACCTTAAATCATAGATACTATACTCTTTACAAGTGTAATGTTGTTCTCTTTAACATGGAACTAATATATATGCTGTATAATGTGGGAATTGTGTTTACTCTGAATTTCTGTCTTTATTTACAGATGTTTTTTTTGTGCGTTTCGGTCCATCTTAAAAAGGAGATCTTGATCTCAGTGTGATTACCTGTTCAAGTACAACACACACAGCTTCAGGCACTATATAATGCACTGTAAAGACTATCAGATCATGAACTGAAGCTGTGCATATGGCACCATCTAGTGAGCAAATTCAGAACCTGCACAAATTTAGGAAATAACTAGACTTAGCTGCCACTCCTTGCTTTTATAGCAAAAAGGGAAAAGAACAACAACACTTGATACACAATAATACACTTTAGTTTGGGAGTGGGTTGGATGGGAAATCCCCATGGATGTATCAAGGAGAATGGAAATCCCCAACAGAGGGAGTAGTCCTGCAGAAAGCCTCATGCGCCCTTGTCCACCAGACACGCATGCGCAGAACATCCGCCTGTCAGTCGTTACACTTTCACTTTGCGCAGGTATCGAGTTGTACGTTTCTCTCTCTTTCTCTGCGCCTTTCGACCCCAAAACTATAACAAAAACACAACATAAACTTTAACTTCATAGCCGTGTTTGATGGACTGTGAGGTGCGAAGGTTCATTCGCCGGTTCAGCCTCCTTGCTTGAACACCAAACAAGAAAAACGAGCTGTGAACAACACGGTTAGCTAACTCTGAAGCGACAATGTTCTGACATCTAAAGTGAGATCATTGTCATCTGTCGCCTCTGACCTCCAGGACTGGTGAGTTGATACTGTTTGTGGAGAGAGAGGGAGATGTTGCTTTTACTGGACTTTTTTTTTTTTTTTTTTTTTTTTTTGTTTCAGCATTGTGAAAGATTTCTTGGAGTTGTGTGACTTTACTGAACCTAATATAGGCAATACAATAACAACAAATGGCTCCTAACCCTGGGTTTACAAGGACAGCTAATGATACAGTATGAGCACACATCCACTGCACTATATGTGATTAAAGATTACTGATCACTATAAGGAAAATGAACAACCAAAAGTTATGTAAAGCCAGGAAAATATTATAAAAATCTATGTGCACCACTGGAATATAAGAATATAGGGAATAATCTAATACGTAGGCTTTTATATGTTGATATCATGTTAAGTAGAGTGGGAAATGGTTTACTAACATTTGTGATATATGAGGAGAACATATTATAATACATATTAAGAAGAAGTAACATTTAACTGTTAATCTGATCTGCAGTACAGTATGACGATATAATGCACATCACGATATGGGGTTATGATTCAGTATATTGCTTTATATTATAAGCAGTACTGTAAGCAAGGTGATATATTGCAATTTTTAAAACTCTTTCCACCGTATGCATAAAATCTGAGTAAGAAAATTACTATGAAGGCGCCCTGGTACCCCAGCATCCTCTGTTTGATTCCAATCTGTGGCCCTTTTCTACATTTCGTCCCCTCTCTCTCCTCCCCCTTTCCTTTCTATCAAGCTGTCGCAGTCACACACAAAAAAAGGCATAAAAAGCCAGAAAAGTAACCAGAAGAGTCACAGCCTTCAGCACTGCTATCTAGTGCCTGAGGGTTTACACACAAATATCAATATTCAGTATAATATCACAGAACAAAATATCGCGGTACAATATTTTTCAATATTTTCTTGCACCCCTACAATCTATAAGGTTTCTAGTTTCTGGACAATGAGAGATTTGTTTTATTTTGGCTCTTTATAGCTGAGGTCTCTCGCAAACTACCTCCGTTGCCCAGCTGCTCCAGCCGACCTCACACTATGGAACGAGCTGCGCTCAAACAGAGCCAGCTATGTGGCTCCTGGGAGATGAAGGAACGACTTGGGATGGGAGGCTTTGGGCACGTCTACTTGTACCAGCACCTTGTAAGTTCTGCTATTCACCTGTATGCTGAGGAGAACTTAAACCCCAGCCCCAGATGTGTCTTTGGCTTGGTTTTATTCCCTGTCTGTGTTTGGAGCAGGAGTTGGGAGAGAAGATCGCAGTGAAGCTTTGTCGCCTGGAGCTGAACTCCAAGAACAAAGACCGCTGGAGCAGAGAGATTCAGATCATGAAGAAGTGAGTGTGAATCATCTGCCTGTAGCTCATGAACAAATTACATTACATGTTCCTTCTTGACAAACCGTCTCTGTATGTTTGGGTCTCTTTCTGTTATAGACTGAACCATGTGAACGTGGTTCAGGCCAGAGAAGTTCCAGAAGAGTTGAGCTCCATTGCTTTAAATGACTTACCTCTGTTGGCCATGGAGTACTGCTCAAGAGGAGACCTACGCAAGGTACCAAGTGGGTATTTTATAAAGACCCCATAGAAATATTTGTCTTTTAAAACATTGCCCATTAATATTTATATCTCTTTATGTAGGTGTTGAATAAACCAGAGAATTGTTGTGGGCTCAAGGAGAGTGAAGTCCTTTCTCTGCTCAGTGACATTGGTAATGTTTCTACTTTAACAATAAGTCACTGTTATCACATGTTGATGCTTAATGTCCATGAAATTATTATTATTATGTTTTACAAACTCAGGTTCTGGTATCCAGTATCTCCATGAAAATAAGATAATTCACAGAGACCTAAAGCCAGAGAACATAGTCCTGCAAGAGGTTGATGGGAAGGTGAACTCAGTTTTTGTACATTAATTCAACCTGCGTTATGTCCAATTCCATATATGGTTTCCTGTGCCTTGCTCTCATTATGAAATCATGTTTTCCTCCAGCTTGTCCATAAAATCATAGATCTGGGTTATGCTAAAGACTTGGATCAGGGCAGTCTCTGTACATCCTTTGTTGGAACTCTTCAGTATCTGGTAAGTAAAAGAATGTTGTGATTTATTTTTATTTTAATAGATTTACCATTCAATCTGTTTTATGAATAAGTCTTTATGTGTTCCAGGCTCCAGAGCTGTTTGAGAGTAAACCCTACACTGTAACTGTGGACTACTGGAGCTTTGGAACAGTGATCTTTGAATGCACTTGTGGTTTTCGACCCTTTTTGCACCACATGCAGCCTGTCCAGTGGTGAGTCAACAGCAATGCTCGCCTGTATTCTGAAGAACCTGGGCGTACAAATGACATTAAAACACATGTATTATAAGTATGAACTGTATATAAAGCAAAATATATACATAATACAATACAAAATAATTAAATGGATGGACAGTATATATGAATATTACATGTGAATTTTGATATTGGAGTGTTACTGTAGTATATAAAGATACTTACATTTAGGTTACAGTAAATTCAATAATAAGCACTACAGACTCACTCACACAGGATACAAAAATGTACTTAAGATATACACTTTTATTAATGTTGTAGCTATAACATTTTTATTAATCCGGTAAATAATTTTGGACACAAAGCAACAAGAGTGTAAAAAAGATTTTATTTCCGAATGATTGGAACATTTTGTGGGTCTGGTTTTTCTATTTGTTGGCTTTATTTTGAGTTCTCTCTGGTTTGCCTGCGTTTGTAGGACAAGTAAAGTCAAGAACAAAGGTCCCAAAGACATCATGGCAGTGGAGGACATGAATGGAGAAGTCAGATTCTCCACACATCTTCCATATCCCAACAATCTAAGCAGGTAGAGACAAAAAGATTGTTCATACCTACCAGGCAAGTGTCTCTTATCCTTGCATCTAACCTCTGTGTGTGTGTGTGTGTGTGTGTGTTTGTTTATAGGCCACT